TCCAATATGAATCTCTTATCTCTCTCCTCTACAGGAACAGTAATACACGTTGTGTTGCCCCTTTTACCATATCGACCCTCAATATGCTGAACATAGTTCTCCACAAAGACTTCCCTGGACACCTCACCATCCTCGATGTCGAGTCTGATCAGGATGTCCATGCTAGGGCCGACGATGACCAGGACTTCATCAATGTCACTGTACTCGCCCTTCTCATCAATCAGAATAGCCATTGCTTTCCCTCGGCTCGAAGCTAACCTGCATGAATAAGACCATTGCTCATCTTTCCTTATCTGATCAGTGGGCTTACCAACTTTACTATGACCTTTGGAGATTGTTTGGGACTTCCGGCTGCACTTCACGAAGTCCTTCTTTATGTAAGTTTGAACGTGAGTCTTGGACTCATCAAATCTGACCTTCTTCTTGACCACGTTCGATGCAACCTTGTGGAACGTCCCTTCGTCATCACTCCAATCATGGATAAGTGCAGGAGTAGCCTTTGAGCTTGTTGCTTCGGTGTTCGGAGCAGTGTCGAATAGATGAGGATCGTGGCGTTTGTTGCATTTGTCTCCATATCGGCACTTGCCCTTAGCCCAGTGCCAGCATGGTTCATCAACCTTCTTGGTCTTGTTCGCCGGAGATTGACTTCTTGGAGTTCCTGGCTTCCGACCATTCCCTTTTGCGTTCTTATTCGCATCAAACACCTTTTGATCATGACTATATTCACAATCTTTGCCTTTTCTGCATGATTTCTTGATGAAATGGAAATGGCATGGGATCTTCTTCTTGGATCTAGGGCTGGTACTTCGGCTGTTTGCTCGATCCTTTCCTTTCCCTTGACCTTTCCCTTTTCCTTTTGCATGTTGTTTCGGTTGAGGTGATGGTAGAACTGGAGCTGCATCGGCCTTGGCCTTCGCCTTGGGTGCTGCCTTCTCCTTGGGAGTAGCTTTAGGCTTCGCTTTTGGATTGGCATCCGGTGCAGCAGCAGTTGGATTTGGGGCAGGAGCTGTAGGTTTGCCGCCGCCTGCAAAGTCTCTTGCATATTTCTCCCTAGCAGCCACATGCTTGTCCTCTCTGATTCTGGAGATGTGCCTTTCGATGACGTCCAACAGATAGCGATAGCTTCGTCTTTGGTCTCCTTCAATCCATGACTCGTATTGCTTGATATCAAACATCATAAGACTCGAATTTCGAATCTTCTTGTAGAGAGCGTCACGAAGCCAATCATCAGGAGGTACATCATCCGGCATCATGTTTGACACCATCTCCATCCATTTCTCATAGAACACTTCCAGGTTCGAGTCACCGAGATATTTCATCGATACGATGTGCTCCATGGTGAAGGCTGTCTCTCGTTGACCTGGGGTTCTGAAGTGTTCCAGGATCATAGCCAAGATTTCTCGTCCCATAACGTAGGTTCCTCTTCGGCTATGGCTCTGTGTTCTCAATCTCAACTTGATCGCCACATGACGAGCAACATCACCGGCTTGGGCTATCACGTTTGACAATGCAATTGACAACTTAGCGTCGATTGACTGGTATCGTTGCCCTCCACTGTCATTTAATAGCTCAATGTCAGGATTTGGTCGAATAGCCGGCTGTAGCCATGTTTCCCATGCAGTTTTGTCCCCATCATTTGCAGCAAGAACAACACTCTTGATGAGATCTGATTGCCAAACCCCAAGATTCTGCTGCTTCGGCCATGGGCTAACATAGACTTTGTCAGCCTCCCGTCTTGACATTCTCGGTACCTCTTCTGCCGTGTAAGCCGCTGTGGAGACATCATCTGCTGAATCGCGTTGTGATCCTCGAACTGAAGGCAAACCAGGAGGTTCTGGAGGTGGTCCTGGACCGTTAGGCCCGAAAGGGTCAGGAGGTCCATCAGGGTCAGGCGGACCGCCCCATCCACTCGGTGGTTTGTAATAGTTCCTCTCAGTTCCATCGGCAATCTTGTTGTCAACCTCTTTCAGCAGATCAGTGATTCTTTTGTTCGATTGAGAAGGTTGTTGTTGAGAAGGTCCAGCATGTCCACGATAGGAATGAGCCATATTCGTCTCATAAGTTAGCTCCTTGTCGATCTGCGAAACCCAAGATTTCAGAATAGCGTTCTCAGAGTTAGCCTCACTCACGTCATTCTCCAGTTTGTCGATGACCAGTCTTGATGCGAGATCATAGTTGGGGATGCCTGCCGAATAGGGAAGTGTATCAGGGCTGACCCTAGATATAGATATTTCAGAATCCTTGAGACTCTTTCTCAGTTCATCTAAGTGACGTTTCATGTCAACAATCTCAGAATTCTTGATACCGATCTTTTCATCCCTATCCTGAATTTCCCCCATGAACATACATGATCTCTCATATTGTTGAACACCACTAGCCAACTTCATTTTGCGCTCACTCTCTAGTTCAGATCTTAAAGTTCGGACCTCAGCATTGGTGAGGGACGACGCCCCTACATCCGCAACTTCAGCCAATCTCTCTTTTAACAACATGTTCTCTTGTAAACATTCATGAACTTCATGATCTAGATCTTGAACCCTGATTTGAGCGATTTTGGCTTGATTACGTAGATCTTCAACAAGCATCTCATCGGGGCCACGACCGTCGGTCGTAGTACCCTGAGTCAACGATCTTCGCAACTTCGTGTTCTGCAACTTGATCTCATCCTTTAATTCGCAGTTCATCTTCTGCTCGTTGGTATAGAGCTCTTCATAGTGCTCTGCCCTTGCGATCGAGTTTACACTAGCCTGTGATTCAAGCCTCAGGTGTGATATTGCTTCGGCCTCTTGGTTCCTGTATGATGCAATTCTTCTGACAGTATCATGTTCAGTGTTTCGATGCTTCAGATCACTTTCCAATTTGGCCTGATTTGCCTCGAAAACCTTCTTTCTAGATTCTCTAGTGATCTCGTCAATACTGCTTTCATACAGCTCGGCCTGTTTACGAGACTGAACCAAAGCTTCACTCAATAACTGATTCCGTTCAGATAGTTCATGAACTGCAATTGATTGTTGTTGGCTAATCACTTCAAGTTGGTTGCTAGAGAAGGATGCCATTTCGGATCGATTACGATATTCCATGATTGAGTTCTGGAAATCTGTCTGCATTTCTTGACCTTCGTTGTATAGACGATTGGCAATATCGGTGGTTAAGACATTGGTTTGATGAAGTTGTTGCAGTCTTGCCTCCGTATTACCCAATAGTCCTTGAAGGTGATGTACTTCATCCTTGTACTCTTCCTGGATCTCCATACCACGTTGATGGATCCGTCGTGCACCATGTTCCATTAGGGCACCTCGGCGTTCAAGGTCTTGGATGCGTATTGTTGCACCTTCGTCTTCCTGAGATGCTACCATTAGTTCTGCTTGATATTCTGCAACCTCATTTGCGGAACATGATAATCTATGGTTGAGTGCATTGACCTCATCAAATACATTCTGGTTGTGTTCCTGAAGATACTCAGTGAATCTGATCTCAATGTCATGAATCAGTTGATCTCTAGATGCAGCGTATGCTTCCATGTGGTTCAACTGATTACGTAGGGATTGACATTGTGCCCGTAGTTCTTCTATCATGGCAATAGGTTCACTAGCCGCAGAAGTATCCGTTGATCTCCTCTTAACACGACTATCCCCGGTCCTCTCACCAATTCGGTCGTTTACGGCCCTGGTGGATCTGTCCCTTGGGGTAGTTCGTCCTCGAGATGGTCGATGCCCTTGGCGGACAACATCACTTCGAGCACTGTTTCGAGAAGATCTTGGTGTACTTTGGGTGGATATTCTTCGTCTGTTTGATGTAACTTGCCATCCGGACTGTGTAGTTCGGGTAGAGCGTATCCCACCGCTGTCTGCCGTGTCGCCAGGGGAAGATTGGTTGACCTCCTCGACCGGCATAGCAGTGTTCTCATTGAAGGTAAACTGCGTGGTGCGCGAATCTCCGCTGCCGCCTTGCATCTTTGCGATGATGAGCTGATTGGTCCTTTGCGTTCTCAATCAATTGCTCAGAAGGCCCGGCTACCAGCACGCAGGTACCACTCTCCCGACGGGAGAAGTGAGCCCTACGGCTGATAACCTGTGAGCAATCTTATCCTTGTTCCGGATGTAGTCGAATGGTAGTACCTTATGTGCTGGTTGTTACCGAACCTTACCCAGTCATTGCGGTCAGCGCGCGGCCGTTTTCCTCTTGCGGGCGCTTGAGCCACAAAGGGCCGTAACATTGTCAATTGTTACATGTGCTACCGCTGTGTTCCCTTTGACATTATATATATATATATTATATATAATTATATATATATACATAGACCTAGACTTTCCAAATACCACCAAAAAATGGTGAAGGTGCTAGGATTATGGGGTCAAACATCATTTTTGTAGGTACCCGGACGGTATGAGTATAGCTTACAGTAAAAAAACAACGCTCCAGGATATGAAGGCATAGCTCTGGCTCCAAGATGGAATGAGCCCATTCTGACTCCAAAAACCTGGCAACTTGAGTAGTGGATGAATGCGGATGGTGAATAAGACCATCTACCCTTTGGTAAACATACAAAAAAGCTATTGAAAATGGCCATAGAAATAGTGGATTTACCCATTAAAAATGGTGGATCTTTCCATAGTTATGTTAGTTTACCAGAGGGTATTTAGGAGATTTCAATATACTCCCACGTAACATCTAATACCATCTACAAAGTGAACTTTGATCACCACACTGGTTACCCGGTTCCCAGCCACTTTCGATTCTTGTTGGCTACAAAGCTCTTCTCGTTGACTGGTGGTGAAGTTACCCTCCAGTAAACTAACATCTATGGAATATGCACCATTTATAGATGATATACCTACTAAAATAGTGATTGTCCATAGTTATGTTAGTTTACCAGAGGGTATATCATGACATCCCCCATTACATCACCGTTTTACCGTATTTTACCCACGAAAATCCCATGCAAAATCCCATGGAAAAAATCCCCCATGAAATCACCATTTGATCCACGCCAAAGCGGCACTGAACACGTCGAAATTTGAGCGCTCATCTGGTGCGGCTGAAGCCACCCATGGAAAAAACATGAAAAACCCTTGAAAAAAAACTGATTAAAACATATTAAAGCCCTCTCACATTTTCTAATGCCACTGAAGGCTTTTCCATTGTTTTTTCTTTTTCCAAAGTTTTCAACTGAAATGTCACCGCGACCCCTAAAACTCAGGCCCCGCCTATCGCCCTTTCTCGGGTTCCGGCGCTTGCGGCCATCCTCGGTGGAGATTTGGTCATGGTAATCCCCCTCGGGAGTCGATGGCACTGAGGTCAATGACCCAATGGCTGGCATCATTACCCACTGGTAAACTAACAGTTTGCAGCGGGTACGTCATGGGGCTTTTGAGAATAGTCCTTTCCTAGGTTCGGGCTCCAACGGGCCCCAACGGGCCTGCTTCACGGGCTCAACGGGCCCGACGGGCCCAATGGGCTCGACGGGCTCGACGGGCTCGAGAGGCCGTGGCGCTGAATGAACCCATCATCCCTTCTGGTGCTGGCGTTACACTTTACATTCAATTGGGAAGATCAACAACGGTACTGGGAATATAGATTCCCGCCCCCGGCTAACTTAATATTCAATGGGGAAAATCAACAAAGGTATTAGGAATTTAGAATCACATCTCTGTTCAACTTTACATTCAAGCAGGCAAATCAACAAGGGTAATATTTTGGGCATATAAGTTCCCCACCGTCCCCGCCTGTGAATTTTACATTCAATTGGGAAGATCACCACAGGTATTAGGAATATAGAAAATCCCACTCTCGTTTGCTTTTGCTTTCGACTGGAAAGATCAACAAGGGATGATGATGATGATGATGATGATGACGATGATGATGATGATGATGACGCTTCGTTGCCCATCGTCGTTGCCCTGCCAGGCTAAACACAGGCATTAGCCGTATTTCAACATATGTATATATACATAAGTGTATGCATCTTGTATCTTTCTAATGTGTATACACACATAAATATTTATTTATTGAGTGTTTGTTCTTTATGTATATCTTTTACCTAATTACATCTGGTTGTAGATGAAAAATGTATGAACCCAGCACGCCATTGGGATCATGTTTCCAATTTTCGTCGCTTTCCTGCTTCAGTCATCCATGGCTAAATAAAACTAATGCACATGCTTTCTGTTCTTCATTTGGTTACAGATATTATTCCACCAGATGTTGATTAGTTCGGCACCAGCTGTTGACTACCAACCGGTGAAGCAAAATCCTTCGGATCCACTCGGGGTATGATTTGTCAAGCGGTGCCGTTTGCAGATTCTGCGATTCTTTCCTAGACAGCGACCATGATGACAGGTGATGGTGCCTTTGGAACTTACATGATGATTTTTCCTTCTATCACGCAGGGAAAAAGAATGTGGTTGCTAACATATCTGATTGGCACCCCTTCAAAAACCAAAAAAAATGCATATCTGCGTCTATCTGCTTGACATGTCCGACCCAAATACAACGGCGGCCACCCACCCGACTTGTCAAACGCTGCACGGCTCTCTACCTTTTCAAACAAAAAATAGGGACAATCATCCCCGGCAAAAAGGCCTTAACAGCGTTGAGGAAAACATCTGTGAACAAAGACTCCAGGACTTCAAGCCAGGACCTCAATGAGAATTTCACACAGTCGTCAAAGAAGGACCTGATAGAGGGGATCTGACAAGATCTTTGTACAAGAACCTCTTGAAGGCTTCCCTTGCAAACTTTCATACAAGCACCTTCTAGATCTTCACGCAAATATCCTTTAGAAGATTCCAGCAGGATGTGCGCAAGATCTCCTCACAAACACCTCTACAACAAAGGATTTCACTAGGATATCCACAAGATCTCCTCGCAAGGACTTCTACAAAATCAGGAATCTTCGAGGATCTCGACAGGATCCCTACAAGATCCCCTTCCAAGAACCTCATACAGCAGGACTGCCCGACTGCCCCAAATTGTCGTCGGGCCCAACGGGCCCAACGGGCCCAACCCAGCAGAAGACCATGGCCGGGCTTTTGTAAGTTTTGGGGCTGGGCTTTTTGAGTCGGAAAACTGGCTGGTTGAAACAATCTGATTGCTGTACGTCATTATCCATGAGGACTGGATGAGGGTTGCCATGACGACTATAGTTAGTGTGGTTACAACATGTTATAAACCAACTTATAACTGGGGAGCCTCACCTTGCAATTTTTTTTGCTCAAGACATACATAAACTCCTTGGGTTGCTGACTTGTCTCACCAGTGAGTTCACTCTTCCTCTCGTCTTAAATGTAATCATGACTCATATCTGCTTCATATTGTGCATGGCTCAAAGTTTCCCTTCCAAACTGCATGATCCTATATGATCTATATGAAATTGACCGTCTTTGAGGGTCAAGTGGCGCTCCCATTCTGAGTTTTAGCCAATTTTTTAGGGAAACATGTTTGCATGTCAGTTGTTGAGTTGGATGGTCGCTCCATGTTCAACCGAAGCAAGGATTCACATCTTTAGTTCCTATTTATTTCAAGTGAGCAGTGGTCAACATCCCTCTATCATTCCGTTATACTGGTTGGTTTATAGGGATTCCCTGCTCTTGGATTATTATACTCCCCAATATACTTACTGGTTCTTAGTATGGAATGGGGGAATGATCTATAATAGCCATTAAATAATCCCATTCCTCCATTCCCTACTAATTCCATTAATGGGTAGTATAATCCCCTAGAATTAAATTGGGGAATCCCTGGATATATTGGTTTAATGTTCCCGATTATACTCCCCAATATACAAAGTTGTTCAAAGCCCTCTGGTAGTATAATTTTCCATGTTCAAAATCCCCTAGAATTACCAATCATCAACCAACAGGGATTTTGAACACTGCTGGGTGCCCCAAGCAGAATCCTCTGGCACTGTGACCTGCAGGGTTGATGCATGATATGTATATATATATATACATAATATATATATATACATAATATATATATATATACATAATATATATATATACATAATATATATATAATATGTATATATCATATATAATATAATATGTATAATATAATATATATATATACCCAGACCATAGTACCAGTAAAAATGGTGCTTCGCCCCATCATTTTTTAAAGCTCGACCAGTTTTGGTGGTATTTAGAGGGTCTAGGTAGGTCAAAGGTCTATATATCTAAATACTAGTTGCTAGTTGCCCCACGCATCCCCGAATCCGGCCACAAAAGAACCGCTTGCGCAAGCGAAAGATCGCCAGTCTGGATGTCCGAGTCTGAAACCCCCAACCATTGGTCTCAAGATGTCTCAAGCTTAACTCAATCCAGAGCACCCAGGATCATCGCTGGAAACTCAACAGATTTGCAGGTGATTTCAAAATACCTTCGGCAATCGGTGGGTTTAACTTCCCCAATCTTTGAGAAATCTTGAGGGAAATCCCCAAGACACATTTTTTTTTGGGGGGATATCATTGACTTTTTGGACATGATGATTTATATGATTTCATGTTTTTGTTCAGAACATAGAACGATATACAACGTTTGAGACCCCAAGGCCCCAGTTTTCCAAAGAACCAAATCAAAGAACATCCCTCCGAAACATGGACCCCAACAGAACAATGCGGATATTAGAGATGATTAATATATATATATATATGGTTGGTGGTATACCTACCCCTCTGAAAAATATGAGTTCCTCAATGGGAAGGATGACATCCCATACATGAAATGGAAAATAAAATTCATGTTCCAAACCAGACCACCAACCAGATGTATATATATATATACACATACATACACACACATATATATATATATATTATATGTGATTAGCCAACAACTTGGGGACTTTATGGGATATCATGGGCCAGATAATCGACTCCCTTGTTTGTTCGGCTACGCCAGCCTCATCGGCGTCGTCCTCACACCTCGGGTGATGTGATGAGGCGATACGATGCTAGCGATGCCACCTTTCTCACTGCACCCATGAAAATTCTGTTTTACCCCAATTTTAGGTAGGATTTGAACATATTTTAACCGTTTTTTAGGGTCAATTGCCAGTGTCTATAGCTATATGAACTATGTCGGATATTGTGCAATTGTATGATACCACATGACATGATACCCGTATTCTTGTTGTGAACGGGATTTCTGCACTCACTTGCTTGACCCGTGATTTGCATTAGATAAACATATATCACCCTCTGGCAATTTAAATCAATTTAACATAACCATGGAAAAATACACATGTCTGGGTAATTTCTAGTATTTCACTCACCTGAATAGTTCGGCCAACTATTGGGATGATTTCCCTAAAATAAACCATGATTCCAGGGCTCGGGAGAACAGGGTTCGGTCGTGATGAAATTTACCCAGAGATGTGTAATGTGTAGATGATTTGCCATATTTACTATGGCCACTTAAACCATGGCTATGGTCAGAGGAGTTCCAGAGGCGCGAAAATCAACAAGGAACTTCCCTTCGATCTGACCCAACGCGGGTATCATACAGTTCTCTCATCATTCCCTGGGATATTGGAAGTGCAGCCATCTATTTACGGATGCAAACTCAAGATCTCAAGGTTCTTCAGCACATTGAGGTTTTTGTTGCTGTATACCATGTATACCTGTATCCCCAGACTTTTAAGTTGGCATCCTGAACACAAGCCCATCCTTGTTATTGCAAAATGGCTAAATCGTATGCTAAATCCTCCGATTGGATGTTGAAACCACCACTTGTGTTGGTGAATTCATGTGAAAATTTAGCACAAATTTTGGTCGGTCAAATCCTCAATATCCCTTGCACTCCAGCAAATCAAGAAAACACTATGGATAATTCCATCACTGATCATTTCCTAGGGTGTCCCTTGGATGTTCATACCGTTTCTTTTTCACTGCAGGGAGTCAGTGCTTGATGTTGCCATGCCATGGCCGTTTCCCGTGAAATCCCGGGAAGATGGGCTCCCGAAATGGGGCGAACAAAAACCAGCCCTGGCCAAAGCAAGCCATTGAGCATTACTGACCCAATTACCAAGCATGATTTTTATATATTTTACTGGTCATATTGCAAAGTGTTCGACCGTGTCCCTTACTAAAAATCCCCTGCTTTAATGATGATTTTCACCTCAATTCGTAAGTGGGTTAGTTCACCCCAGTTCTAATTGGACTAGCCCTACTTAGCCTTCTGAATGAACTGGGGTCTCATTACTAACCCACTTACTAACTGCGGGTGAACCACAAAACATTTCCAATCTTGGATACCCAGCAATAAAACATCCAAACAACTAAATTGTTGGCTGGTTAATAGTAGATATTACTATTATTGTTGAAATCGCAAAAGATTAAAGGATTAAACTACCCATCCAGTTGGTCAACCTAGTATCATTGACTTACCCATTGATCGGTTAAAATGTGTTTAATCTTAAAAAAATCAATCATAGTTGACCAATAGTTAAACAATAGTTAACTAACCATTAGACTACTTGATTATCCATAGAACCAGATCATGGGACAAATTTCACCTATATATATATTTGATGGTAAAAACCCATGGCTTTCCGGTGAAGATTTTCCAGTGAAAACCCATGGCTTTCGGGGATCCACGGGTGCCGGACCGTCGTCTTTCGTTCTTCCCGCGGCGGGACGAGCTGCCCTTCTTGGACACCTGGCCAGAAAATGCAGCAAGTCATAAAAAAAAACACACAATTTTTCACAGAGAAAACCATAGTTATCCATAGTTAAACTAACATAACTATGGGTAAATCACCATTTTTAATGGGTCAATCAACTATTTCAATGGGCCATTTTCTATGTCGCAAACTCTAAACGTTTACCAGAGGGTATCTCCATTGAAAACCCCCAAATCTACCCTCTGGTAAACTAACATAGCTATGGAAAATCACGATCTTTAATAGGTAAATGAACTATTTCTATGTGCCATTTTCAATAGCAATGTTAAATTACCAGAGGGTACGGTGGATGGTTGCGAAATCCTATAAACCACCACTTTGGATGGTTTTTCAACCCGAACAAAATAATGGGATGTTTTGAACCGTTTTCAACTGGTGCAGGATTTCGCAACCATCCACAGTATAATCAACAAATTATATGTAATATATATATATAAATATTACAACTGCATATCGACGTATATATTGATTATATACAATTCAATTACTGTAGATTGTGAACATTCAATCATATATATATATTAAATGATTCATGATTTCATGTGGATGAAATGATTTAATTAAGTTTATATATATTGATTCTTATTAGCAAAGGGTTAACTTGGCCATGTAACCAACAATGATCCACTGGTTGAGTGGCTTAGCTATGATTATCGGGGCCGTCCGGATCATTCCACAGGCCGAAATGAAACCGCCAAGCAGATTCGTTTCTCGGCATACAAAAACACAACGCTCTCATGACAATGTTGAATGGCTACCCTCTGGTAAACTAACATAACTATGGAAAATCACCATGTTTAATGGGTAAATCCACTATAAATGACAATTTTCAATAGCTTTTTGATCCCCCTTGCAATTCGGCCTCCGACCCTGACCCCTGAATCTTTAAGGGACCACTGGTAGCCTCTTAAAGAATGCGAACCAGGGCAAATTTCAGCCTTAAAGAATCTAACCCCAATGAACCAAGATTGCAACACAGTAGCCAGGTATGTCCCGTTAAAAAATTGGAGACCGTCAATAACACACCAAGGGGTGCCCCTTTAAAGAATTGGATACCCAAGTTGAAGTCAAGCATGAAATGTTCTGAATATTTTTAAGATTTTATGGATACATATCATGTACATTCATGTACATGTTAAAGAGATATGTGGATGTGGATGATATATGAATATATATATGGTGCAGTTCCTAGAATCTTCCAAGGAAGGCCTCTTAAAGAATAGGAGACCGTCAAACAACAGGATTTCCTTAAAAAATAGAACTGTTTTTTTTTGCCGGCCAGGTATGTCCCTTAAAAAATACAGTTTTTTAAGGACATCATGTCCTGAACTTTTTAAGGAAAATTCCCAGGAGGATGCTTTTTGTATGTTTACCAGAGGCTACATATTAGGCTATGGTAATGAAATCATCATTTTCAGGGGATGATGGTGACTTACCATTCCCAGAAGGCTTTGAGAAGTTTGTGGTCGCTAAACATGCAAATGGTGAGTGCTTGGACATCCATTTAACAGGTTGCAGCTTCTTGAAATCATAAATATCAAAATGTGACTTTAGTGTGGCTTTTCTGTGGACGACGATCATGTCCTACCAATTTGTATTGTTCTGAAATATGAGTAAAATTATTCTTTGTCGAGCAGACAATTGTCCTATGGGAATACGGATCAGATACGGATCAGCTGAACTGAACAGGAGTCTGAATGCCTACGGTATATTTGATGGAAGTTGGCCACACAGTTATGCCCCTTTGCCAGTTATAAGTGAGTTATAACAGTATAACATGTTATAACAGTATAACATGTTCTAACCCCATTCAATTATGGAATTAAAATCCCATTTCTAACCATTTATGACTGGTAAGTGGCTTCAACTGCAGGACAAACATGAAGTATTTCGGAATGACCATCCATTCCCAATGTTGATCGAGTCTCTGGGCCATTTTAACTCCCCAACTTGGTGTTTACTTGGGGTTTCAGTTGAGGTTCTAAAACATCCCAACTTATGAAAGATATATAAGATATTAAAGTCGGAGTTATACCCACTAAGTACTACCCCCAACTGCGGCCCCAAGTACTTTCCATCTACCTAGTTTAAGTAGATCCCCCAAGTTCCCCTTAAAAAATAGGTGTTTTACCCCCATAATTCTCATACTGTTACCATTCGAACTGGAGGTATCTGGAGGGTCCAATTTGGACTCACATCACAACCCTCCCATGTCATGTCACACCTCCTTTACTCTCGATTCAACCTCCTCCTGGTGAAGTGCAGAAACCAACGATGTCGATTCGTTTCGAAATGGAAGGATCCCAAGCTCGAAATTTGGAGTCAGGATGTAACAGTCAACATATTTCAAGATACAAACAGTACTTGAAAAGTGCTACCCTCTGGTAATTTAACATAACTATGGAAAATCACCATTTTTAATGGGAAAATCCACCGTAAATGGCAATTTTCAATAGCTATGTTAAATTACCAGAGGGTATTATATATTATCTTAGTTTTACATCATGTATCAAAAAGTCACATAAGAAATATAGGAGGCACTCATGAAAACACACATTGCTACTGTACAACCTCTCTCGCATTCAGGAAAAAATGACCAAAAACCTCATGAGTGTCGCTGCACAGCCACAATCAATATACTATGAAATGGAAAACATGTCAATTGAACAGATGCCCATCAAAGACAAGAGGTTGGCTGCAAATCTTGCTTCAAAGAGCATTTTTTTGCCATTCCTGGGAGTTCTTTGCATTTACATCCGATATGATCCCAGAAATCGCACATTGGAAGGCCGACTAAAGAATTGTAAGTCAGCTTCAAACGTTTGTGGCCGACATTAGGAGGCCTTGAAAGTGGAAACAACCAAGGACCAAGTGACCAAGTGGGTCTGTAGAGTACAACCGGCTTACTGTTCCCCATTGTCCCATTCATATTCCATTGATATCCAATGATATCACCATTTCTGCTGCTAAACCCATGGGGTTGTACAAGGTGAGGCCTGTTGAAAATTCCTTTGTAAAGCCAACCAGTTCGTTATATCCATTCATATCCCACAACCATAGAATTCACCAAGTGAACCCTGCATGTTTGCTGGTAAATTGTCACAATTTCGTAAGGCAGACCTCACCTTAGGACTCCTTAGGACCTTGGCTTAGTCCTATTGATACTGCTTGGTGCTTTCAACCATCTTGAAAAATATTAGATATATTCGTCAATGGGAAGGATTATATTATCCCATATATCCAATTATATCCATATATCTGGGTAAATTATAATATTTCACTACCCTGAATTAAGGCCATTCGGGGGTGATTCCCCTAATTAACCAATGGAAAAAAAAAGCCATGTTTGAAACCACCAACCAGGATACATCCACGGGACTCCCCAATGGTTCCATCCTATCCCCGGTTCCACCTGGGACGTCCGCGCCGGGGATTTCTTTCTCTTGCTGCTAGTCTCCTCGATCCATGGCGTTTACACCGGGCCATGAGATGGTGAGCATGTGGATGAAATATGATGAAATGATGAAGCCGAAAAAAAAAGATCTCCAGTACCTTCCAGTCATTCGAATGGAAAGTGTCAGTGACCAATCTTACGATATTTCACTTAGTGACGGATGTCATTTTCTATAGGGAAACCAGCGGAAAAACCATGGAAAAAACCCATGGGATTTCAGCTGCCTGGATGCCCAGGTTTTTTGAACAAACCATCGCCTCCTGCAATTTGGAGACATCAGCAATCTCCTCAGACCTGCCGGCGAAAGGCCGGTCTGAGGTCCAGCAATTTTCAGCAACAGAAAAAATGGGGGGGGTCCATCTGAGATACACAGTTTATGGTTAAAAAATACCCTCTGGTAAACATACAAAAAGCTATTGACAATGGCCGTTTATAGTGAGTTTTCCCCCCCAAAAAATGGTGGATCTTTCCAGTTCGCTACGTTAAATTACCAGAGGGTAGTTAATAGATGGTTAGTGGTTGATAATAGGGGTTAAACACCTAACATGGGGGATATCCCAATAGCCGGATGGTTGATTCCATGGGAAAATCCAACGAACTCAATGGATGAGAACTGAGGGTACCCCCATGGCGATTCTGTTCCTGCAACAACTCAGAGTAAAATGTCTAGGATTGTGTAGGAGCCATCATGTCCCTGTCGAAATTCGACCCACACGACCCATGGTGGAAATATAGGATGTGCCATAGGCCCTGGCAGCCATGATTTCGTAACCAAATCCAAGCGCTCCGGGCTGTCATTCTCAGCCAATGTTCTCTGTTTTCAAAGCTTTTTGTTAGACACCAGCCGTTTTTTGTTTTGGTACACCTCTAGCTCCTGTTCTATGTCGAAGTCTATGTGAAATGATATTGGATCATTATCATTGATATCATTGATGCCATGTTCTTCGTCCATACAACCAAAGAATGAACAAACAAGAGCAATTTCTGTACTCGCTATGTGGTTAACTAGACCCTCCAAGTACCCATAAAAAATGGTGTATTTTACGCCAACGTTTACACTTTTTTTTGGGTATTTGAAGGGTCTGGGTAAACATAGTTTTGGTAAAATTAGCCATTTCATTGATTTAGACAACACATAAATCCCATGTTGTGTTGTTTCGCCACCCAAACAAAGAAGTGGTGAAATTCCCATGTTCGGTTGGTGGATGCCCTGACTTCACTGGTCAAAGAAACACATTATTTCAAACCGTCCATCAGTTGGTGGCTCAATCCCCACATTCAGGATCCCCAACCCTCGTATATTCATGGCATTTCATGGTCAAATCAAATCTGGTTGGTGGTTTCATCCTACCCCTCTGAAAAATATGACGAATCGTCAGTTGGGATGATGACATTCCCCAACTGTTTCTGGAAAGTCATAAAATTCCATGGTTCCAAACCGCCAACTAGATATATATATATAATATATCATTGATTATCATTATTAACCATTATTAACCACTATTAATTATTAACCATTATTAACCATTATTAACCATTAAAAACTGTTCCAAACCACCAATCAGAAATCCTTCAAATCCCCGCCCTTTTCCACCTCCTTCGACCTTTCTTTCGTCGACGCGGGAGGTCCTCTTCTTGGCTCTCCTGGCCATGGAAATAACGGTTATGCCATGGGAAAAAAAACGCCAAAAAAATCGTGGAGTTCATCACTTTTGACCATCTATCATTTATATCTAATTATATCTAAAGGATTTTCATACCCCAAAATCCCATGTTTTTTTTCATCATTTTCCCTGTTACCCTCTGGTAAACGTTAACAAAAAACTATGGAAAGATCCACCATGCTATCAATGGGAAAATCCACTATTTCGACTGGGTCATTTTCAATAGCTATGTTAAATTACCAGAGGGTATCATTTATATATCTAATTATATCTATATCTATATCTATAATGAATGTATCTAGACCCTCGGTTTGTCCCCATCAACATGGTGTCTTACCCCATGGATTTTCGTACTTTTACCATTGTTTCGGGGGTATTTGGAGGGTCTAGGTACGTAATTGTTTATGAAAGGCCAGGATTTTCGTTGCGGGGCATCCAGAGTACAGTAGGTGGGTTGTTCAAGCCATGGTTTGGTAGGACATATACACGTCTGGTTGGTGGTTTCAAATTTTGTGAAAAATATGAAAGTCATTTAGGATTATTATTCCCAATATATGGAAATATAAAACATGTTCCAAACCACCAACCAGACATATTTGTGACCATATACAATGGATGTGTTTTATACAAACGGGGGCTGGGAATACTCATGTAAGAATGACTCATGAAGAACATGACATCAGAACAGTATTATGTCATTGCACACGTGTTGAAGAACCAGCATTCACAACCCAGAAATTGAAGAGAAAACAATTGTGGACCTTTAAAGCTTCTCCCCCCAATGTTCATGAACACTATACCTTCTGGTAATCAAACATGGCAATGAAACATCACCCAATTCTAGATGATGTTCTATTTTAAGGCTCATCTATAGCGGACTTCCCATTGCCATGTTTGATTACTGGAGGGTGACCCTCCCGTTTGTCTTGTTGCATAACCGTCTCAACTGACTGCTGCACGTCTCGTCTCCTTGTGAAAATCATGCCAAACATATCGACAAGCTTTAACAACAAAGTGTCTTTATCTTATGAAGTTGACATAGACCTACTATCATAACTATCTAGTACCAGATGTGTTCTGCTACCAGTATAGATGAAGTTCTTTACCATCGAACTGTTTTGATGAATAAGAACTACCATCTGGTACTCACACAGGGAAACGGAACAACCCCCCAACTTGTGGCCGCTCATGGATCGTAAACCTTCCATCCCAGAAAAGCCTTCCAAGCCCCCAAAAAATCCACAAAAACAACAGCCCTTCAAAACCGTTCCCCAAAATATAAACCTAAACACTACACCATTTCAAAAGTAGGCTTTTAACCATTCAAAACCGTTTTTCTTGGGTCCTCTTCGTCTTGCAAGATCACGGCTTTGGTTCGTCTCTCCTGGCTGCAAGAATTTTCCAGGTGGGCTGGGTTGTGAAAAACCCGCAAATCATGAAGGTTTGATTAAAAAAATGTCTGAACAAATGGCAATTTGATAGTTTACCCAATAGTAGTTGACGCAAACATGTTCGAACAAACACTATCATTCTGTCAACATGTTGGGAAAACTTGAAAACCCCAAGCTTTATGGTTTAAAGATGTCTAAAGTTAAAGCATAACTTTCCAATTTAAAATTGCCATGTAAGCCATGAAGAATCTCCCTTTATCCCATTCGATTATACTTGTTGGATAATGGGGTATGTTTGCATTCCCTATTTCACCTGGTAGGAGGTTGGATTGAACGCACTAATTCAAACCACCATTCATCAATATCTCCAAGTTTGATGGTTAATTAATGTTAATTACCCATATCCTCCGGTAATTCACACATAGCGTGATGGAAAATCCACTATTTACGCTTCATTTTCTCCTTGAAACATGAGGATTTCATGGGATTTCCCATGGCTATGTTGGATTGCCGGAGGGCTTGGCTGCATCCCTGGTGCGCCCTGGATTCATCGATGTTCATCAATTAGATCTCCAAGTTTCATAGTAAAATGAACTCTTCAATATAACACCAAATGTTGGCCCATTCATGTGGAAGTTCATGTTTTGTATAAAAGTTTTATCCCTATATTATGTTTATACCAAAACTTGGATAGCAATCTGACAATAATTCATATATATATATATACATACATGTATATATATATATAAACAACTATATCATGTTATATATATATTATATATAACTATAATTATTATGACATATCATATCAAACGTAACTCGTGACTTTTCAGCCAACGGCCGCGGATTTTTCCAACGTTGGCTCCTCACGGCGTTGGGCCCTGCGCTCCCGTCGACTCACAGGAGAGGCCTGGGATGCGAGGGTATACACCATAGCCCCCTGGTAAACTGGTACAAAAAACACCAAAAAAACTATGGAAAATATGGGAAAATATTGGAAAACCCACCATTTATCTATGGTAAACACCTAAAAATAGATAAAAACTATGGAAAATATGGGAAAACCAACCATTTATCTACTTTTAATGGGTAAATCGCACCTATAAATCGCCATGTTCAATAGCGAACTAGTATAGTTTACCAGAGGGTAATTTTTTGGCCTGTTAATAAGTTAAAACCAGTTTTGGTGTTTCTTAAAGGAGGGTCTACCGAAGAATCCAATAGTTTATGTATTGATCACCCACGTTCACCCGCAATATATGGCTGTGTCGGAAATCAACTTTCCCAACATCCCGTGTTTTGTGGGTATATCATCAGTGTCCCTCTTAAATTGGTGATTCGCGCACGAGAATCCACAAAATTTTCAGACACACCCAAAAATATAAAGGATACTTGGGAACTTGGGGTGGAGTGCCACTAGTAAGATCTAATAAGTGGGTTATAGATTCTATATACATGATTTCACATGTTTTTTGGGCCTCATGGAGGTTCAACTGCCCTAGTTACCCCCAGGTCACCTGCAATCCACCACCAAGGCTTCATCACTGCGCCTGCCGCTCCGGAGTTCCGGAACCCGTGCCGTTCTCCGACGCCGCCTGCATCTGGGCATTCCAAACGGTAAATTTTGGTGTCCGAAAAACTCGACAGAAAATCATGCTGAATCAACTCATTGCTTTTTTTACCATTGTCAACCCAGGGCAATTCTTGGGGCATCCGCGAATTATTAGAAAAACATGGAAAAACGTGTTAATTATTTTGGCGAATTCGTCCAGTTCGGTAGTATGATTAAGACACATGGCTAATATTTGCTGGTAATCAAACATGAAGCTGGAAAAAACACATGTTTTTTAAGAACAGTGCCAATCAATGTCAATAGGTAAATCATCTCCAAAATGGTGGAACTTCCTCTGCCACATTAAATCCCAAACATAAGGCCCGATTTTAGACGATACCAAATGTTTGAAGATTGGCGGTTCAGATGTGTGTAGCTGCAAGGTGAACTAAATCCGACTGGGGTCACTGGTAACTTTCTTTTTGTCTTGGCAATTACACTTTGTTTGGGGATCGCAAAAAAAAGCACCCACCCAGCCCAACCAGCCAATATCAGTCGTCAGTTGCTTTTTCAGGTCTTGCCAAGGCATCAACCCCAATGGTGAGGTCCCTCGGTTATAAATTGGTGAAAGTCGAGCCCCTTGAATATGTATACATCATGTCACATCAGTTACCCTCTGGTAATTTGTTACATAACTATGGAAAATCACCATTTTCAATGGGAAAATCCACTATTTCTATGGTCATTTTCAATAGCTATGTTAAATTACCAGAGGGTATATCATGTTGTATTACCCATAAACCTCAGATCTGCGAAGACATTTGGGTGTCGTGTCGTTTGGCATCTCTGATGGAGGCCTTCTGATCAAAGGCCGATCCTTCTGTTCCCTGAGACGAGAGTTTCGTCATGGGGGACATGGTGACGACACACATATGTTTCTTTCAGGGAAAACCATTGGTTAGTAAAAACATCTCCCTGAAAATAACATCAAAGGGATGTTTTGAAAGGATGCACTTAAATCATCCTGGTCTCCAGTACGAAGCCATCTTTGGGGTCATTCACATTTTGCTTTTTGTTTTTTGGTTCTATATCCTCCAATCGAACATACAATCAAAAAACATCAAAAAACAACATGAACATCCATGGGTTTCCCTTGTACTGGAGAGTGGATCCAAGCTGCCAAGGTGGACAGAATCAGTGACTTTCAGTAGTGGGTCCTGGTGATGAATGATAGTAACACTAAACCATCCCAAAATTAACCATGACTGGGTGGTATAAACTGTATAAACCATCATAATATTGGTGGTTCAAAAAAGTTTATACCACCCAGTTATGGCTATCACCAATATTATGATGGCTTTATTGGTGATAGCTTTAATATACGGGGGTTCAAAAAATAGCTTTGCTAATGCTTTACGAAAAAAACAATGATCAACCGTCGTTGGAGTGACTGGCGACTACTATGACTAGTGATCGTTACTGGGATTTACTGGGATCCAATCCTCAGAATCCAGCTGTTTGAAGAACATGCAGAGAAATCCCTGGTTCCCAACCTCTGTGCTGTCTTGGCTGTCTTCCTCTTCACCTTCTTCCTCAACTTCTTCTTCTTCTTCAGCCTCCTCCTCAACTTCTTCCTCCTCTTCTTGAGCTTCCTCCTCATCCTCTTCATCTTCATCGCGTTCTTCCTCCTCAGAAACATCCTTGCCCTCTTTGCCCTCGTTGTCCTCATTGCCCTCTTCGTCTTCTTTGTCCTCTGTGTTCTCTCTGTCATCTATGTCCTCTTTGTCCTCTTTGTCCTCTTTGCCGTCAGTTTTTGCCTTTTCCTTTGAACTCTTCTCTTCCGCTTCCTTTTCTTCATCCTCTTCTTCCAATTCCTTTTGCTCTTCATCATCCTCCTCAGCTTCCTTCCCTTCCTCTTCTTCTTTCTTACTCGCTTTCGCCTCCTCCTCTTGCCCCTCTCCATCCGGTTCCTTCAACTCATCTGTTGCAGCCTTCTCCTCATCTTCACCCTCAACTTCCGCCTCAACTCCAACTTCATCAACTTCACCAGCTTCATCAACTTCAGCTTCGTTCCCGGCATCAACTTCCTCCAAATCCTCTAACTCCTCCAACTCTTCCCGTTCTGCCTGCGGAAACGCTGGCAGCAGCTCCGGTGACCCCTCCAGCCCCACGGGGGGAAGCGCCGCGCCAACGGCGGTTCTTTCGGCGGTGGTCGCTGCCGGCGTGGCAGGCTCCAGCTCCAGGGAGGCCAGGGAAGTGTCTAGGGCCTGGACCACTGACCAAAATGAAGACTGTCGTGTTTCTTTCATTGGGATTTGATGGTGACAAAAAATGGGAGTTGGAGATTTGATCGGATTTCATCATGGAATTTTTGATGGTGATTTCATTGGGACTCCAGGGTGATTCATAGAGATTCAACTGATTTCACCCTAAAAAAATCGGGATCTCAAGGAAAGTTATACCATGTTCTACCCTCCAGTAGCTGGCTGAGATCCCACCTTCTGGGGCTCGGCTTCGTCCTCTGTGACCTATGGAGGTCATGGGGGTTGCCCGTGACGTCATGGGGGATCCCAATAGCTGGCTGCTTTATTTCATGGAAAATCCCAACAATCAATGGATGAGAACTGGGGGTATCCCCATGGATTGGAAACCTCCACATGGACAACTCCAAACATATTGAGATATGGAGAAAACTCTAGCATGAAAAAAAAACAGGTCTCTTCATACTCCACCAGGTATATAAATGAATATACACGAAACTTTATGATATTTCCAGGAAATCACGATGTTTTCCAACGGGGCTGAACTGATCTGCCACGTCCGTTCGATGGATTGACAGCTGGTTGGTGGTTGAGCCCTACCCCTCTGAAAAATGATGGAGTGAAAGTCAATGGGAAGGATGACATCCCATATATGAAATGGAAAAAAACATGTTTGAAACCACCACGCAAGTTTAGTTGTACACGGCTGTTGAATGGATTTCCATGATTTTCTCATATCTTCTCGCTGGTGGTTGAGCCACCCCCGCTGAAACAAATGCTAACTAGTGAGTTGGCATCATCCTGGTTGCTCACAACACATCCTGAACCCTCCATTTCTAGCCATAAAAACACCAAATTGTCCTAGTACAACTTTTTGGTCTTTGGAAGGTCTACTGCGCTGAAACCACCTTTTGCAGCTCACCTTTTGCATGAAGTAACTCTTGGCCATCCACCCCCTTCGGGTGCTCGTGAAACCTCTGGTGAAAACATCCTCATAATATTCAACATACCATCTGGTTATGACTAACACTTCGCCATGGAAAAATCCACCATGCATTTTTAATAGGTGAACCATCTATGAATCGATTAGGGCCATGGCTTAACCATGGCGAACTGTGAATGTCATAACCAGAGGGTAATATTCAACACCCCATGCCAGGGTCCCAAGATGTCCCAAGATGTCCCATGTTTCAATCCCTACTGAACCATGGTTTCTCATGGTTTCTTGGGGGATGTCTGAAAAAATCTCGGGGAAAGTGACGATTTTTTTTGGAGAAACGCCCAACCAGCGCTCGTTGGGGCCCAAGGATTTGGATTGACCGGCAAACTTCTTGTCAGAAATCTTGGATACATTCGATCCTTTGAAAGCTGCTTATAATGTGGGTAAAACAATGCCATTTTTACAAACAAATGGGGAATGATGATTATACCACCTATAAAAATTGGTGAAATTGGGGATGGTAAAAATGACATTGTTTTACCCACATTTGGTAGATATAAATCATTATAAATCCAGAGTTTATATTTCGCAACAGATCTAAGGTGAGTGAAGCTGGATAAAAATATTTGCTTCATTTTGCTTCCCCCAGCCTTAAAAAAATGGCCCAGATGGACCCAGATGGAGCCAGATCTCGCAACGACCCGAAGCCCCGAAGCCCCATGGATCGGTCAGACGGTGCGCCTCGGAACTCCTCTCGAAGTCTTCCTCATAAGCCTCCGAGGCATCGGCCTGGGAGAAGCACGTTTTTTAAGCGCCTGGTGTGACGTGGTGATAGGAGAAAACCCACCAAAAAAAAATGTCATGTCAGCGAAATGTCATTTGGTATATTGGAGAAACTCATCATGACCATTATGGTGAGTATAGCGCCAAATGTCATGTCAGCCATACTTCACCCAAAAAAACAGATGGGTCCACTGCTAAAGCAAGTCTTTCCCGGTGGTATAGAATGATATTTTTACCGAGTCACAGAAAATTGAAACCACAGACCTCATAAGATACTGAGAACATCTGAGAACCGGATTGGAAGTAATGAGATGTTGTGAGTCTTGTTACCCCGAAGGCTTCCCCAAGATTAGAGCAACCATTTTTGTCGCGAAAAAAAACATCGTGGAAAGTAACGGGGTAACCCAACAAGTGTGCGGACCTTCTTCCATTTCTGGTCAGATCTGGCCCCACCATTTCTTGCAACAATCCAACAACGTGACGTAAAGACACGAAAAACATATACCAAGGCTTGCCGTTTTTGTGCCAAAAACCCAGCCCACATTGAATTTTGATGTAGGACCTCCTCTTTGGAGCATGACAACTCCTCGCCAGAATTCGCACCTGCGGGAAAAAAGGGTACCCGATGCCAACACACGAGTCCTGGGTTTCTGTCCAGCCATAGCTTTGGCAAAGGAAAAATATCAAAGGTTGGTGAAGTTCTGTGCAAACAAAGAACATGAAACCTATGCTGCATGCTGCTCTTTGGCTTTCTGTGATGTTTGAAACACAGGACAAATATTGGCACACCTGACAGAATCTGTAAGTCAAAAGGCACAATCTTCCCTCAAACCTTAAAGGGATTAGGGTCAGTTTAAATTTATTCCGGCTGGGATTTGTTTAATGAATTCTACAGGATCTCCCCCCCCAAAAAAAACATTCCCTAGAATTTCGCCGTGTAGTTACTGGGACAATTCACCCAGTTCAATCCCAATCTATGGGATTCCTCGAAAAAAATCCCTAATCTCCGCCTTCCTCGACTGGACAATCATCCTGTTGGGCTGGGATGCCATTCCGAATCGACCAGGGAATGTTTCAGGGACCTACCGAATGACCCTCCAAATACCCCACCGCCCCACCGAACAATTCGCCGAAAAAGGCCTGAAATGCTCAAAAGATGGGGTGAATGGTAAAACACGATTTTTCTGGGTACTTGGAGAGGTACATCGGAGGTACAGATCCACGGGGTAAGGGAATATCCCTACGAAATATGGTGCAGTACACCCATTTTAGGGTCTTGACATTCCCATTGAACATAGGGAAATCCCCCAATTCACGGCTGTTAAAATAAGCAACCTGATTGACATGATGATAGAACTATAAGCTCTTTTGGGAGGGTATAAACATTTGAATGATAAATCTAAACTTATGGTAAACCATATGGGTTTTGGAGTAACCTATATATTTTCAAACAAGATCAGCTGATAAAATTTGCTGTTCCTCCCAAGGATGGTTTTAATGGTCCCATACACTGACCAATCTCCAACCAACAAAACATGGTCCCAATGGAATGTGGAATTTCCCTACATCCACCATGTGGTTGCGTTTAGGGGGTGTTTAATATGATCGGGGGAAGGGACCAACAATCACACATCCCGGGAGTAAGGGGCCTAATAAATCCATTGGATGTCGAAAATGAGGGGCGACCTAAGCAACATCCTTGAATTATATGCTTCGTTGGTGAAGCCAGGCAAACTATATTGTGCTATTCTCATGTGGAGATAGAGTAGCAATCTAAGCCGTTTTGGGTACCCACTGATCCTTTGACCAATAGTACGTGGTAAAAGTCTATAATGTGATAATGTGGGAAACACTTTACACAACTATCCCTCATTCTACTACAAATAAGTGGAGTTTTCTTGCTGACTTGCAATTCCTTGAAGGTCGTTGAGTAGACCAGCGTTTCATCCATTTTCGTTTTCTTGTCAAGCATCTGGTTTAGTGGTTGAATTCCTTGTTCTTCTGCTGGCTGAACCCCTCCAAACCCATTCAAATCCCATTTTTTCTGCTTCAAGAAAACCATGTTCCATCCAAGTTTCAACCCATGCTTGTGAACTGGGACCATCATCCTAAGGCTTTTTCAAATTAACAAAGAGTTAAACCCACCAACTAACCAGCCTGGCATCATCCCCATGTTATCACCATTAAACAAAAACCTATGATGCCCTATGAATCTGCCATGGCCATGGCTGAATGAGCCCACAACCCATCGGAGATCCTGCGCGTCAAGGTCTACTCTTGGCTGAGCTCCTGTGGCTGAAGAAAGGTCTCGAGCCTCCTGATGGATCAATTTTCCCAATTTTTTCCATAGCTTTCGTCACAGATTGGAGAGTCAATGGATTGGTTTAAGGGAAAATTTACAGGAAACCATGGTTTTTGTTCGCGACAGGTTCACCCGGGTAATATTATCGGGGGTACTAGCACTGACAGTCCTGACACGTCTGCGGCCAGAAAAGCCAGGTACTAGTCCACACCTCAAACTCCTTGCGTTAGACACACAAAGTCCTCCACGGTCAGACAAGTGGTCCTGCGCTTTTAACTCTCTTTCCAAAGTCCTTCACGTTGGATTCACCGGTCTTCCGACCGATCTTTGAGCTTGGAAAAAGGGCTATGGTGAAATGCCCATTGATTGAAATGACAATTGCAAAGTCATGACATGAATGCTAAATAGGGAATATGCAATTCGCACACCCCCTGACTGTGTTTCGCTAGAGGCACAGTCACACGAAAAAAGCAAAATATATCTCACACCATCTACACGACAGTGTTACATTCAAAGCTCAAGCCCTCTCTCAGATGTTCTTTTTCCGCTCTTCTTTTCCAAATTTTTTCACTTTGCATGTCATCGCACCTTTTTTCACTTTTCGCTTTCATTTGGCCTCGCACACCAATTACACGGCTGATACGCAATGGAATATCCATGCATTTTTTCGCAGTGAGTCACATCGGTGTGCTGGGGTCCATTCAATCCAGCTCCATACATGTCTCTCCCTCGAGGATGCCATCCGCGAAGTTGAGGAACACACTGCTCACAGATATCGGTGTGTCGCACCATCTGTGAATTTCTCAACCCATAGCAATCCTTTCGGAAGTGATATTTCTTTCCAAGGCCTGTAAAGTACAGGTCAATCGATGGGGCAGCACTGGAAGATGGATCCGCAGGGATCAGAGCACCAGTGCTGGTGGATGAGGAAGCTGCAGCTTTTGGCTCGGCTTCAGCATGATCGGTTCTGATCTGCGTCATCCCTGTTGATGTCGTTTCATTTGGCTTCCTTTCATCACTTTTCTTTCCTTTTGACTTTGATTGCAAAGCTTTTGGTGGCGGAGCAACTTCTTTCTTTTCTGCTGCCGCCTTGGGAATCACTGGTTCTTGGATTCCTGCAGAGGCTGTTTGATCTTCTGGTAGCGGAGCTTCCAGCTTTGAAGCTGGTTGGCCATAGGTGTTCCTCTGTCCGTCCTGTTTGGACGCAGAAGATTGGCCCATACTTTTGGCTCTTTTTACAGCCTTTGGTGTTTCTTCCTTTTCTTCTTTTAGTGGTGGGCCACTTCGCCTGGGGAGTTCGTCCCGAGATTGGTCTCCTCCACCGAATCCCAGAACCGTCTCACCCGGCGGGGAGGTTGGACAATCGGTCTGTGACGCTAGACCCGACGTCCTGGCACTCCCAGATGGTTGGCCGCTTCGCCTGGGGAGTTCGTCCCGAGATTGGTCTCCTCTACCAAATCCCAGAACCGTCTCACCCGGCAGGGAGGTTGGACCACCAGTCTGTGACGTCAGACCTGATGTCCTGGCACTCCCGAGCAACTGACTGCTTCCCCTGGGGAGTTCGTCCCGAGATTGGTCTCCTCCACCGAATCCCAGAACCGTCTCACCCGGGACGGAGGTTGGACCATCGGTCATCAGACCCGATGTCCTGGCACTCCGTTGAGCGAGTTCGCCGCGGGACCGATCTGGTCCCACAGCCGTCTCAGCCCTGAGCAGTCGTCGCTGCCAGCCGTTTTGAATGGCCAACGTGACCAATACCACCGCTATCGTATATACCATCATCATATCAAAGAAGATGGATGATTCCTCTCCTGCATCTCCATCTTCATCTTCGGCCCTCGCTCGGCTGAGCATGGCCATGATCATCGCCATCCTGACCATATCTTTTGGGGACTTTATCCCTCCTTTCACTTCTTTCGTCTCTATGGCCGGCTCTCTCACCTCGCCATCCTCTTCTTTTTCTTCGGTAGGCCCTCTCACCACACCGAGATCTTCCTTTTCTTTTTCTGTTTTGATCTTTCTATCTGTCATGCCCATGGCTTTCTTCAGCTCCTCCAACTTCAATGCCGCCAAAGCTTTGGTGCCCAGGTCGGCGATCATGCCGTTGCCTGGAGTGTGTCGGAGGATGACATCTCCACTCAGCACCCGCCATCTCATGTAGCGAGCCCTCTTTCTCAAGTGGCGCGTCCTCCAGGACGCACTGTCGCCTCCAACTATGGCGATGGCTGAGGCAGAATCCGAGTACTGCCAACATCGCACTGCCTTTTCCAAAATTTCTTCCACCACTACTCGGACTGCCTCTGCCAAAACTCCTCCTTCCAAAATCTCCAACAGCTCCGACTCTGCTGTGGATGTGGTTTGAAGTTGTTGGCGCGAGCTTCGCCACAAAATTGGAGCTCCCAGCCACATCACCACGGAACATCCGTGGCCTTCATTTCCATAGGCCGCGTCGGTGTAGACCAGGAGGTCTAGGCAACCATCTTCGTTTCCTCCAAAGCGAATCCCTTCTTGGATGGAATTCGCAAGGTATTTCCAGATCTGAGGCGCTGCAGCAATGACCTTGGAAGGTCGTCTGGTGGTCCATCTGGAAATTCTGGACATGACGTACATGATGTCGGGGCGACACCTGGTCACCAGCCAGGTCAGCTCACCTACAATTCTCTGTGCTTCTCGAACCTTTTCTACTGTCTTTTCTGCATCATCCTCACCATCACTATCCAAACTTCCATCCTCCTTTGACATGGGAATCTTCTTCAATCCCCACTTCTCTCTGTCCATCCCCATGTTCTTCTGCAAGAGATCCAAAGTGTAGGAGTGTTGAGTGGCGCACCACACTCCATTTTGATCTCGAGACAACTCCATACCCAAAAACCGGGTGGTTTGCTGACAGCCCACCTTCTCAGGGACGGAGGTTTCCCACTTGGATTGGATGCAGCTGATCCAAGCTTCTGCAGTCTCCTCTGAGGCAAGGACCAAAATGTCATCGACATAGGTGAGCATGAGCCCTTGCAATTCGCCAGTCTCTTCTTGGCGGATGGCCCATGTACTCGGCTCTGATTCAAGCTGATGCAACCTCATCTTTCCAACTCTCATCTTTTCCATCTCCTCATCTCTATAATCCTTCCAGAGTTTCGGAGACCTCCGGAAGCCATAAAGAGCTCGCAAAACCTCCCAGAGCTGATAGGGAGGAAAGTAGCCAAGTTTGACCAAAATTGGTGGTGGCCTAAGAAGCATTGGCAGCGGAGCTTCTTCGCCTTCTTCTTCAAAAAACCCATCTTCACCCCCCTTTTCATGTTTCCAGGGAGCATTCAAAAAGGCGGTGCGAATGTCCACATTGATTCCGCACCATTTGCGAACTGTGGCCAGAGCAAGCGCCAGCCTACTAAGGGCAGCAGCATCTGCTCCTGCCGCAAAACAGTTTTCATCTCCACCCCCAGTCTCATAGTTGCCACATGCAACTATGCGACATTTTCGCTTTCCCCGACGATCAGCCGGATCTGGCTTCACCGTAAATACGGTCTTGGAAGGTAGTGGAATCGCTCCTCTTTCTTTGAGATACTTGTCGCTCTCCTCTTTCGTCAAAAGCTTCAACGCTTTCTTTTCTGAGAAGAGTGAAGTGATCTCATTGGAAATGGCCTGATGCCAAAGGTCTTTCTTCTTTACCACCTCAGCAGTGCCCACAATTTTCGTTTGGAGCACCTCTCCTTCATCTTCTTGATCCATCTCCTGCATGGCTTTCACCCCCCTGAGTACGGCCTCAACAACCTCTTCATCATCATAGAAGGCATGTTCTGCCTCTTCCTGTATCACCTTTTCCCGCTTCAGCCTGTCTTGCCTGCTTTCTTCATCTTTCTCCTCTTGTACCTTTCTGATCATGGCTTTTCCTCGAATTCTCCTTCGAAGATCCAAGGGAGTCAGATTGTCTTCTAAGGCAATCCACGTGTCCTCAGTGACTGGCTCCACGGTGTTGGTGATGACAGCCCTGGTCAAGGTTTGTGTGTTGTCTGAGCGAAGTACCCAATGCCCATAGTTCCGCCAGGATGGGGCGAGGTAGTGAACCTCTTCGTTGTTGGGTTCCATGTCCTTTGTGCGCCAATACCTTCTTCTGATCAGCACTTTGGACATGAACGGTGGGATGGCCCCAATGGCCTCTGTTCTGCTTCTCTTCCATACTTCATTGAGATATCGAACGGCAATCGGCCACCATTCGATACCTACCTGCGCGCCACGCAGGATTTTCTTCGTCTCTGTCTTCATAGCTTGTACGGCCCTTTCTGCTCGGCCGTTGGTTTGAGGGGATACCCCTGGGGTTGTTGTTGTGAGGATGCATCTTTCCTTGCACCACTTTTCGATGTACGCTCCAGTGAACTCACCTCCTAAATCGGAGTGGAGCTGATTGACAAACATGCCTTCACTCCTCAAGGTGAGGTAGGCATCGATCAGGGCATTCAAGATCGTGATGCCTCTCTTGTCTGGCAAGGGGAATGCCAAACGGTGCACTTGTATTTGTGCCTGTTGCTCTTCAGGGACATCTGGTGCTGGCACCTGTGGGAAAGGGTCTTCGCCCGGTTCAGTGGGCTCATTCATATTCAACATCGGGCGCCACCCGGGTCATATAGTCCCCTTCCTTTTCATCATCATCTTTCTTCTGGGGGTCTGCAGCCTCCTTCAAGGGCTCCTCAACTCCTGGGGGTTCTTGCAGCCTCCTTTTCCTTCTGCCGTTTCTGCTTCTGTTCTTCTTGCTCTCTCCTCAGCAGCTCCTCAAACTCCTCCTCAGGGTCTTTCTTCCGTGGCCTGCCTCGCTTCTTGGCTCCTGGTTTTTGGGACCCTATCTCTTCTTTCGGTTTCTCCTCATCTTCTTCCCAGCCTGGGAAATCATCCTCATCATCCTCCTCGGGCAACTCTTCTAAGTCGTCACCCTTCAGGCCTGTAGGCCAGGTGAACGCCGCGACCAGGACAAAACGAGCATGGTCTTTGCCCAGGTCTG